GTAATACCCATCGACCAAGTCGAGTGCACTGTACTTCGTACATCCCACCATATTGTTCCAAAAAACATTCTTTCTAGGAATCGGCGTCTGTGCCGTAATGGTGGCAGCTTTGAGCTTATTGTACGCATGAACGATACGCCACATACCGTTCGGCTTCCGAACACAAAACGTGCGTATTAAATGGGGAGATTTTCTCTCACGTACCATCCCTGCGTCCTGCTTCGCACGGAAAACGGCGTCAATGACATCGCACTGTTCCTTGGGTAGGGGACATTGGCGTGTTACGCAGTATTTGGCTCCAGAAACCAGGTCGATCTCATGACACACACCTCGGTCCGGAATTTGGACTGAAGGCGGGTCTTTGAAGAGGAAGGAGTTTGGAAATTTGGACAAGAAGGTTGTCGGTGCGTTTGCGCGCGTGGTTACACCAATATTCGTTGAATAACGGTTTGCTGTATTATAGCACAGATTCAATGGATATGCCAAGAGTTGTGGTTCCTAACGATGAGGATTTGAAATACCGCATCCTCTATCAGGCCCACGACACCCAACTACGTGCTCATCTCGGTCGTGATAAGACGTACAGCTCGGTGAGTTGCCGCTACTGGTGGCCCAAGCTGTACAAATGGACAAGCAAATATCTGCCAACCTGTGAGACGTGTGTGAGGGTGGAACGCTCTCCGAATGCGGCGGCGCCGCTGGCCAGTTTACTGATACCCTTCAGGTGCTGGCAGTTCACGGGTATGAACTTTGTGTTTGGCCTGCCGAAGAACTCGGCGGGCAACACGGGTGTGGTGGTCGTTGTGGACCGTTTGAGCTAAATTGTTTATCTTGCGGCAGTGTCGGACACCATCGACGGTGAGGGTACAGCGAAGCTGTTTGTCGGTCATGTCTTTTGACAGTTTGGACATCCGGAGTCAATTATCTTTGATAAATACCCGCGCCTCACTGGGAAATTCTGGTCACTAAATTAACGGTGGACCATCCGCAGACCGATGGGCAGACTGAGCGCGTGAACCGCGTCGTTAAAGACGTTCTTCGCAGCATCTGCGTTGAGACACTGAAGCGCTGGAGCGCCATGTTACCAATTGTAGAGTTTGCATTGAACAATGCAGGGCATTCGTCTACCGGCTACACGCCGTTCTACGTACGCGTTTGTCCATCCTCGCGTCCCTCTGTCGCCGCCATCCTTTGGCTCAGGGCTTGGTGGGGGAGGAATGGCCGAACGGCTAGCTGATGTCAGCCCCTCCACCGTCTAAGGGAGACCTTGCGTATACGCTGAACCTTCCGAGAAAAATGCGCACCCACCCGGTGTTCTATATAAGCTTGCTTAAGCCATGCCGGGATCCGGTGCAAGTAAACGCGGAAGCGTTGGCGCCGAGGCGGTGCCCAAAAGGCGCTCGGCCACCCAGAAGCTGAACCAGCAACTGGTTTTGAGCACGAAGTGCAAAAATTTCCGTCTCCAACGGCGTAAGGCGTTCCACCGTTGCACGAAGTGACGTATTCGACTGCTTGACGGCTAGAAACCGCTCCGACAGAGCACAATAATCCTCAACGTGAGGCAGTTGGTGCACAAAGTGCTCCAGGCTCTTGAGGTCTTCCGCACAGCGGTAGGCAATATCGGCAAGATGCACGGCAGAGTGCCGATAACGTCTGATGTTGTCCTCCAACGCTCGAAGAGCATCGCGAGTCACCGTAAGGCGATCGACCAGATCGTCATCGCCCGCCACCGATTCATCTCGATGAGTATAGTGGCATCCACAACCACGTGGGACGTCCTGCGGCTCGACGTCGTCTACAGGGTCTGACCCAATATTTGTAAAGTGGCAGGGATTCTTAAACTCCAAGAACTCGTGGGAGTTTGAGGTGCCACTCCGGCAAGACTGCTCAGACGTCGCAGACGCTTATGATCAGAAGAATCATGACGCTTAGCGTCGTCTTGCGCCTCACGCTTCTCGGCAGTAGCTTGTGAAGCCGGAGACTTATGAGCTGAGCTTAAGCTATGGCCCTGAGCTGCTGTGATTGTAGACTCACTCATGTGAGAAACCACAGTGCTCGCGGGAACGTCATGGATTGTTCCGTATGTCGCAGGGCAAGAATACGCAGATATTCGGCGTCACGCCCAGGGTGCGGCAAATTCAAATCGATGATGGACCTCAACACGCACGTCAACCTCTCTGTGGCTTTACTGTAAGGTAGACAGCGAAAAAAGATTTCGGTGTCGCTGCATTCATCGCTAAAAGAGCTCATCATCATCTGCAGCGATCTTACCCGGGTCGAGCACCACTGGAATAGTTATGTATTGCGGGTACAGAAACTTACCTCTTTGAGCTCGAAGTCAAGCGCTATACCGATCCATTGGGATAACTTGGGGTATCAAGAAGCGAGCTTGTAGAACTCTTGCTGGTCAAGCTCAGACTGTGTTGTGGCCGGGCTCTACTACGTAGACGCCTAACGGTCAAGTGATCGCATCTTTCGCTTCAGTAGCGGAATCCGGCGAGCGGAACCCGTACTCCGCACGAGGGTCAAAGACCGAATGTGAATACGAGCGATGAGCCGCCTTGTGGGTAGCCTCCAATTGCTGCCCCTGTGGCTCGTCGAGGCGATTGGACATGATATCACTTCCCTTCAGAAAGCGAGAGGTTGAGGAACGGACACGGTGTCCGCAAGGTTCGAACTTGGCTCACGTCGCGCCGTTGGCGCACTTCATCTTCCTCGTCATTTCATGCGTGGAAAGGAGTGTCCGACTCGTAGTCGATTTCCTTTAACTCATCGACGATGAAATCCGTCACCCGGGACGAGCGCGGTGTGTGGTGCTCGGTTGCCGTGGGCTTGGAATGTGCTTCCCGTGATGCCGTGGACGTACTGTACAGAGATGCACCCTGCGCAGAAGAAGAAGTAGGGCTTTACCCGCGGGCGCCCTCGGAACCAGCTAGGATGTTTTTTTGCGTACCATAGACAAAGGGCTACTTGAGCGGAGAATGTTTAGAGTTGTTCGTAAGAACGTGACGGTCTCAGACACGCGAGCCTCGTATGAGGCAACCTTTAAATGTGAATTGTAGATATTCACAATTCTAAGGGGGGAGAATGTAGCGGGGTGACAGGTACCCTTGTATAAAAGGGCGGGTTGCACAAGATGGTGTGGCCGTACATAAGTGTGGATTACACAAGTTGGTGTAGTTACACAGTGGTGCAGCTACACCGTCATAAGAAGCCACTGCGTGGCAGAATTGCCAGTAGGATTGCATATTGATTAGGTATTACTGTATTAATTAGGTATTACTATATTAATTAGGAGAACTAAGGTTTCAGATATCGGCGGCTCTGCTGCAACTAAAACAAATAAATACAGTTTCAATTTTTGCTTTGTTAGAATATTACGGACTCTTCAAGTACTGGTTCTTGTAAGAAGCAAAAAGATTTTGACCTTAGCTTAGCTACCTCTAAGCAAAGAGCGACGGCAGCTCCGCTGCATCAGCCCTCGGCATCTGCTTGCAGCAGTACACTGCCGATGGCAAAGTCCGAAGTGTCACAGACGACACTAAAAGGACGATAGGGGTCTGGCAACGCCAGTATTGGTGTATGAAAGAAGCTGTCGTTGAACCTGTCAGAGCCTCCCGATGCTCGGTGTCCCAACATTATTCCATATGCTTTTCAAGGAAATTCGACAATGGCCGTGCCATTTCCGCAAAATTGTTGCTTTGCTTGTGTAAGTAGTTGGCGAGGTCAAGCCACTTCAGCAAATCTTTCCGGTTCTCTGGAAACGGCCAGTCCACAACGGCCTTGACCTTAGCAGGATCCGCCCGAAGGTCACGCTTCCAATGAAGCACCCTAAAAAGAGAGATTTTTATGCCGATGATGCACTTATCTGCATTAGCATACATCTTATTCGTTCGCATACACTCGAGCACCACTCGCAAATGGACGATGTGTCCTCATTTGTTCTCCCAGCCCTTCACGACTACGGACAAAGATGTCGTCGAAATATATTTATGCATACCCCGGTGGGGCCTGAACAATTGCGTCACAATTTTGCTGGTACATTCGACAGCCCTTGAAGCATCACCAGCCACTCCCAGAGCACTCCCCTCGGAGTACTCACCGCTGTCAGTAGAATATCATTCGCTCTCATGAGCAATTGGTAGTACCCATCGACCAAGTCCAGTACGCTGAACTTTGTACAGCCAACCATGTTGTTCTGGAGAACTTTTTTTAGGAATCGGCGTCGGTGCCAGAATGGTGGCAGCGTTTGGCTTACTGTAAGCGTGGACAATACACCACTTGCCGTTCGGCTCCCAGGCACAAAACGTGGGTGTCGAAAGGGTAGACTTGCTATCACACACCTTTCCTGCGTCGTGCTTTGCACGGAAAAAGGCGTCAAAGACGTCACATTATTCCCCGGGCAGGGGCCATAAGCGTGTTACGCAGTATTTCGTTTCCGGAACCAGGTCGATCTCATGAAGCACACCTCGATCCGGAGGTAGGACCGACGGCGGGTCTTTGGCGACGACGTCTTGAATTTGTTTTAGCAAAGAATAGTACAGAGCGATAGGCTCTTTCGGATCGAAAATCCACTTCGTGCGATCGGCACCCTCTTGGTGTCCTCCAGGACAGCTTCATCCAGAACGACAACGAGTTAGTCTCCTCGTTCGGTCTTGTAACGACCACCTCGGCTAGGTTGCTTGCCTTCAAAGCTCCGCCAAACGCTTCGAATGACATCTCGTCCAGCTCAAGAAGAGCATCCACCCTGTAAATAGCCTCGAGGGTGACGTTGCTGTCTTCTTCACCGGTCGTACCACTGACAAGGGGATATAGCTGTGCGTTATCTTCTTCGGTAGACATTTCCTGGATCAGGTTTAACGCCCTGCGAACATACGGCATCACCGCCTCCTCTCTGTAGAAGGTATACGTCTCATCAAGACAAGTGGAATCGCGCAATCAGCGTCGTCCAGTGTCCCCAATCCTTGCTTCATCGGAGCCTTGATGTTATTAAGAACATCCGAGGAAGAGCTGTTAATTTCCGCAGTCTTCGTTCGGTGGATAACGTGCCACTTCACGCACATCAGGAGGGCCTCGGCTCTTGGCCGACCATGCCACTCTCGGCATGCAGCGACTGCTCCATAATTAAAAAGAGCTCGGTGGGCTACTTGCCA